GGGGGGGGAAAGGAAAAGACCTTTCTGAAATACTCAGGGGATTTTTGTTTGCTTGCGGGAGCCTCTTGCAGCCTGGCCCCCTGCTGCTGACATCACAGGGTGCAGGGGGACCCTCAACCCCTTCTCCCACCATCCCAGCTCTGGCACCACCTCTCTTCCAGGGTGTTATTGCTCCCTGAGTCAGGGGAGACATTGCCAGCCAGAAAAATGCAGTGGGAGAGAGGGCTGGGAGCTGGGAGAGGGGCCAGGAGGAAGGTGCATGGTGATTCCACCTGTCCAGGGACATGAGGCCCTGCAGCCCCAGCAGTCATCCTGCCCCTGGGGTGATCCTGCCCATGGGGTCCTCCCAGCTCACCGTGCTGCCCTGCAGCCTCTCGTACCTCCTTTTATCCTAATAACCCCTGTAGAGTCAATCAAGGGGGCTGGAGGCAATGGAGAATGTCCAGCTATGCCAAGGCATCCACTGTGGGCAGCAGGGGAGGGACAGGATGATGCTGAGGAGCCTCTGGGTCTACCTGGGACCTGGGACAGGGAGCTTCCTTGTGGGAGAAGGTTTGCAAGAGCACAATTTAGACAGGACAGACCTTGCCTGTGAGAGAAGGTTTGCAAGAGCAGGTTTGGTTTAGACAGGACAGAGGGAGCACAGCAGGCTCAGGAGAGCATAATGTGTGGAAACCAGGAGCTCACCTCCCTGAGGGGTCTGTGCAAAGGCAGAGGCCAATGGCCAGGCTCTCCCTCCCAGCCCCATGGAGCAATCCTGCACCCACAGAGCTCTGTGTTGAGGTCCCCATATGGGAAGTGACCCTTTCCAGAGAAGCAGAAGACCCACACCAGCTGAAGGATGGACACACAGCCATGGCCATCACACCTAACACACATCTCCAACATTCATATCCATGTCTGCACAGGGGATGCCCAGCTCCTGCCTGCCCAGCCTGGTGGCTCAGGGCATGGCAGTGTCCAGCCCTCCATAGCTAAAAGGGGTTTCTCAAGAGGCTCTGCCAGAGCCCAGTGGGATAGGAAATCCACCAACGTAACCAGCCCCATCACTCACAGCATACCTCTGCTACACTGTATGGGCTCAAACCAGGAAGGCCAACCCATCCCTGGCACAGCAAGGGAGCTGGGAAGAGTCAGAGGTGCAGAAATTGCCATTAAAGCTGTAAGAGGTTTTTGTATATAAAAATAGGAATGCAGAAGTGTGATTGTTAGGATGTACTGGGAGAGGACCATGACCCACCAGTGGGAATGCGCCATCCCACTCAGCAGTGTCACTGGAGGAGGCTCCTGGCTTTCCTGCCAGCCCTGGATTGTGCCAGGAGCTCTTGGGGACAAAGTCTGCTCCTCCTCACACCTGGTGCTGAGTGGGAAGGAGCTCTGGTCCTTGCAGCCCACGTCCTGGCACAAGCTGAGGAGATCACTAGTGGGATGTCACCACCATCCAGGCTGGATGCTCAGAGCCATGACACTGCTCCCCGTTCTGGGCTGGGATTTGTCATGTAAACACGAGTCCCTCTTAGAGCTGTCCTAAGAGCAGAGCCAAAATGGAACCTCTCCACTCCCTCTGCCTGGGCATCACACCTCAGAGTAGGAGACACATCCCATCCCATCATCCTCTATCATCAGAACCTGAGGAAAACTCAACAGCCCTCCTGTTTTGTTCCTTTTTCCTCCTCTAACTTGTCTTCTAAATCTGGAGACCCATCTCCAGGCACGAGGGACAAGACCTTCAGCGATGTTGATTTATAACCAAGCTTCTAAATTACAGGTTTGGGCATTAGTACAAACACCCATAAAACAGACTTAAACACACAGAATCATGTGGAATCAAAACACCCAAACACCCAGCAGCCACGGGATGGCACGGGGGGAACGAGCAACCTCCTCACTTGCACCCAGACTGCTTTGATGGGGATGGGTCTCCAGCCAAGTGCTCCCAGTTAAACCAGTGCCTTGTGCTGAGGGGTGGATCGCACCTTTAAAGGTGATTCCTTGGACAACAGCAGCTCATGCCACAGGGAGCAAAGGGGCTGAGCCCCTCATCTGCTCCTCCATATGGGTTGCAAAACACCACGGCAAAGCAGCGGGGTTGGGGTGAGTTGCTGATGTTCAGAAACTCCCTAAAAATACATATATACCATCTTGTTTTCTTCTGAAAGAACCTCTGGTTGAGCAGAAGAGCCAGTGGAGGTCCCAAGTTTGTGCACACCGTGGTGCCTCTCCAAGCACGGGACCATCCCCCTGCCCAATGAGCAGAGGAGGAAAGTCAGGCAGATGGAGATTCCCAAGATCACACAGTCCAGAGGAAGGGCCAGGAATCACACTGAAATCATCTGCAAGACAGCCCAGTGCTTCTGCCCTGATGGCTCCTCACCAGCTCCTGCCACCACAGAGTGGGGCTGACAGGGGTTTATCCCCAGGAACCCTCTCTAGAGTCCTCCATAGGCTTTGGGACAACCCTGCCAGCCTGAGCTGTGTGTGCACACGTGTGTGTGCGTGTGTGTGTTTCAGGCAGGGAAGGAGGTGGCAGGACTCTCCTCTCTGCTGCCTCCACTCCCCGTCGTGCACTTCTGGGCAAAATCCATTTGCTTTGGCTTCCTGTAGGGCCAGAAGCTCCGGCCCATTGTGCTGCGGCGCGGAAGAGCCGGCAAAAAATTGTCAACCATGCTGAAACGGTTACATGGGGAGTAATGAAAATTTACTGCACCCTGCTCGGGTCCCTAGCCAAGGAATAAAAGCAAAAGATCACAACAGGCATTTTTTTAATTTGAAGCAAAATTAAAAAAAGAACGGATCCGCACTTAGAAAATAACAACCACATCCACAGATCAAAGCAGCTGTTCTCCTCTCATTCGGGGTTTTAAGAGGTTTCTGCAGCTACAGGGATGTTTACACAGGGAGAGAGATACATACATTGTGCTGTCTTGATGCTGCCTCTCCCCCCTTCATCTGGCAAAACATTCCCTGGGAGGCGATATGAGGTCATTCCTAGACCCTGCGTTGTTTTCCTCAAGCTGCAAAGCTCCGGGGCAAGAGGCAATTCATTTCCCATTAGCACACACACATTTGCACTTGGAATCCTCCCATGTACATTTTGCCAGGAGAGCTCAGGATGGACAAGAGACCAGCCCTTGCCAGCTTGTTATTGCATTCCCAGAGGGAATTCCAGCAGCCGGGGCTGCCGGGAGGGTCACTGGCTCTGGCAAAGTCACTGGGAAGGGATATAGAGCCGGGAGATGGGCTGGCATCTTCTGCAGACCAGCATCTTCTGCAGACCAGCCTTAATGTTTCTGTGGCTTCCACCACTTTTATTACGAGAGGGGCTGGGCGGCTCTGGGGAGCACTAATGGGCTGTAAAAAGCTCTTTCCCCTCTGCCTCCTTGGCTGGAGCCCAGCTCGGAGCAGACGTGAGCCCCGAGCAGGGATGGAGGTCGCAGGAACACGCCAGGACAGACTCTCCCTTCACCTCTGGACATCAGCACATCGGTCCATCCGCCCCGTGGGCAGCGCCTGCTTAGGCAAAGCAGTGAATTCTGGCTTGTGAGCCACCCTGCACTATCTGTGCAAATGAAAAAACCCACCTTTGAACCTAGATTTCCCCATCTCTAGCATGGATTTAATGCCACATGCTATGACCAAGCTGCATCTTCAGCTCTGACCAAGCACATTTGAGTGATGCTAGAGCCAAAAGTGGTTTCTGAGGCTGCGCAAGAAGCTGCTGGGAAGTAACAAGCAGAGACAAAACTCCTGTTATGGAGCTTCAGGATCACAGAACCAGCTATTGACTCAGGCAGGGACACTGGAGGAAGAAGAGGCCACAATGCTGTGAATCAGGTCTCACTTTTCCTCAGGTCCATGAGGACCTGGCACAGCCAGTCTTGGGCAGGACTCATCTAGAGCTCCCAGCCACCAGGGTGATGGATGCTGGTCCCGTACCCTGCTGCTGCACACAGGAAGGAGCTGGCACGAGAAAACCACAGCCGAGACATTTCGATGCCCTAACGAGGGGTGTGGCCTTACAACTCAGAACAGAATAGACTATTTTTAAAATCCTAGAGGAAAACACTGCATTCCCAGTAACACG